TCCAGTCGATCTCCTCACACATAGAGTACCCTCCCTTAGCTGTGTCATCTGCGATGCCATTGGTGAAATAGGACGCAATGGACCCTTGCCTTTACCAGACGGGCACTCCAAAGGTAACTAAGACTGTCTTCACATGAGACTGATGGAAGTTATTACGTACRTGTACTACGTTTTGATGGGTCATAACTTCAACTGGTCTGGTGTAAACRCAGTCTAATTAAAGTTGAGCGATATTTTGAGCGATATTTGCTTGTCGGCTTTTAGAGTATGTGTGAGTGATCTTGTTTTTGGTTTTGTTTTGTTGTGCAACAATTATTATCAAGGAGATGGTTAACTCGTTGAGAAGGCAGTATTTGATGTCAATTATTCCTAGGACAACTTATAAACTCTAAAAGCTGAGCCAAGTCACAGGTTTWTTTTACAAATGCCAAGCTTATTTTCTTAGAAATGGGAATGGACGAAGACAAGACTGACAATCCACCAACTTGCAAAATGTTGGTGGTTGATAAACTTCTTGACAGACTAACAAATTCCAAGGAAAATAAGGTGAGGCTGCTTTTCTAGCTTTTTAGGGCAAGAAATCACGCTGTTTTTTTTCCAATATGGGGTTTCCGAAACCTCTTCCAATTGGAAATGTGATAGTAATAACTAGAAATATTGTTCTTTGACGTTCATCAAGTTTTAAACAAAACTTTTTTCAGGTCCAAGAAAGATCTGCGCATGCTCTAGGGTATCTGTTAGTTGGCGAGCCTAAGTTTGCTCACCGACAAAAACTGATTGACGGACTGTGCGAGGCTGCAAAGGTACACACTAATTGGAAAGTATTTCTGTATTTGTTTATTTATTGCTGTTTTGTATCACTCGTTTGGTGGGTTGTTCGTTCGTCTTGTAGGTGTTCGCTGTAACTTGTTCGTTCGTTTGTTCATCTTGTAGGGGTTCATTTTACTTTTAGGTCGTTTTGTATATCGTTTCAGTGTTCATCTTGTAGGGGTCTTGTAGGGGTCGTTCGTTCTTTTAGTACTATAGGGTTTCGTTTGGTTGTTTCTTAAGTTCGTTTTTGAGGTTGTTCGTTCATTTAGCAGAGGTTTCATTGGTCATTCATTTACTTGATCGACCTATTAGACGAAAGCCATTCTTTTTAAGCCATTGAACAATATACGTCTTGTTTCATAGATTCGTCAGGTCGAATTACAATTTACTATCGGTGAATCTCTTTCTTGTGCTGGCGCTGGATATCGTTCTCAGGCAGCTCGTGACCCCTGGACAGCACAGGCAATGGAAGCTAGGGCCGATGAGCCTGATACTGACGTCATGAAGGACTTGATAGAGATGATAGTCACTAAGCACTCCAAGAATCCTGTCCCACATGCTCGGCAGGTTAGTCTGACTATCTTGATAGTGAGAAGTCATAGCCTGGTTTATAAGAGGAGCCGTTAATTTGCTTACAATTTAACATAGGAAGTTGTGGCACACACATCAGTATACATCCACTATGAATTTGTCTTCTTTAGGCCTCATGTGTCTGGCTGCTCGCTCTCGTTAAATATTCGGGAAACCATTCAGCCATTCAGGTATGCTTGTTGGTATTAGAAATGAATAGCCAGTAGAACACAGGCTCACTTAGACTCGAAGGCGAACTATTCTTTGATGTTTTATTGCAAAAAAAAACATAATATTAAAAGATAGACTAAACACATTATTCAAATTGCTGCATGTCTATAGTTGTCGATTGCTGAAGAGCCATTGAAAATATCGTCAAATGTTTGCACCTGTGTTATATTATTCAGAACATTCCTCAGATAATCTGCTCTTGTGCTGTGCATAGTCTGTTATAATAGTTTCTGTACTATAGTGAATTGATAAGAGCACCTAGTGTGATATTTGTCAGGCTACACACTGTATTGCTCATGAATTTACACTTATTAATGGATGCCGGTTTTCTTGATGAAATTGAGTCTTTTKATTTTAATCCATTAGAACGATTTGCGAAGAATCCAGATGACTTTCATGAGCTTTTTGGCTGAGTCTGATGGTATGACTGTCGAACGTTTATTAATTGTAGAGAGGTTTTGCAAAAATTTGGCWATGACCAAAGAGTATTCACTATTTTGATCATGGAATTTCACTTTTATGTAYTCCTTCGTTCATGGTCTGGCTCATTCTTCATTTATTATTCCTCCACGTTTTTATTCATGGTTTTTAATTGTATAGAACTTACCCAAGAGGTGGCCTCCAAAGGYCTGGGTCTAGTATACGAACTTGGAGGCGAAGAAAGACGAGAGGAACTGGTATCATTACTCGTTGATACCTTGACAAGTGGAGGGAGGTAAAATATCTCACTTCTCTTCTCCCATAAGCCATTGTAATAACCATCTTCCTTTACCATCCTTTCCGGGTCCCTGTGATGGCTTAWCCTTACTATGAAGTACTCGTGAAGATAGCGTCAATACTCTTCAAATCACCTCTCTTCCGTCTTTGTGATAAGTACATCACCTATATGTCACTTAAACCCATATGACTCGTACATCATATATATAGTCCAAGTATTTTCATATCTATTCAATTAAATCTATCATCCTCACCTCACAACTCAAGTAACCCCTTATTGTGAATATCTTCAGTTGATGTTGTTTACTTTCTTCCTTTGTTTTGAAGACGGAATATGCAAGTCACTGAGGAGACGAAGGTGTTTGGCGAGGGTGAATTAGGGAAAGCACCAGAGGGGTATGGTACAGTATGATTATCCAAGCGATATATGATGATGATGGCTGTAAGGAACACACCGCTGCCTTCCTCTTGTCTATAGGTCATTACAGATAATTGGAATGCAGCGTAATCCAGGGGACAAAAAAACTGGATTCTAGTTCCCTAGAGGGCAAAAATCTTAATAAGCTCATTTGACGTAACATGAACCGGGTGTATAAGAAACCCCACCCTACTACT